TTTTTTGGAAATAGTTCTGCCTTATCCTTGAGAGATATAATAAGATCAGTCCTATTAATGAGAGATGGAATGTTAGACCTAGCTTTGTTAATTATGCGGTTGAAGATTTTCCTGAAGTCTCTAGAGATTTTCAAAAAGTCTTTAGAGCCTAACTTCTAAGATAAGATACGAGGTTTAGTGAACTGAGATTAATGGAGCTTAGCATCAAACAGCATCTTTTTACATCGGTTTCTTGCAATAAAAAAATAGCTGTTGTTCTCTAGACAGTTGTTCTTCTGAAAAAGATTTAAAAAATGATTACAATTAGATATAGCAGCTGCAATCTATGAGGTTAGATAAGAGGCGCATTTATCAGCTGAGAGAGTAAAGATATCAGCCCAAAGACTGTAATGAAGAAAAGTGCAAAAAGAATCCCAGTCAGCTTTAGGGTAGTAGTAAATGTGATGATAGGGTGAGTCTGAAATGAAAGTACAAGATGAAAGATTTAAAGAGATTATTGCATGGTCAGAACCATCTAAGGGAGGAAAAGGAGGAACTGAGCACAAGCAAGGATCAAAAACAAGACATAAATCAAGGCGTGAAGGTAAATGATTAGGGTTTTCAGAAAAACAAGTCACAATGTTAACTATCTGAGTAAGAGATTAAGAAATGCTGAAGTTATAGACTTAAGTACCAGCAGGGTCAGTGGCATTGGAGCCAGTGTGATGAGCATTAAAGTCACCAAAAACAACAATATTGGCAGAGGGGTAAAGAGAGAGAGAGCATGGTCAATTTGATCTGAAGTTATCTAAAAGAGTGCAGTCTTGGGAAGGAGGAGATTGATAAAGAACAAAGATAGCGGAATTTAAATTAATTTCATTAAAAGCAAGCAAGTCTGGTGAATTTTGCAAGAGGTACAATTCAACTGGTAGAAGGTTGCTTCGCAGACTACAAATATTTGTAAAAGATATATTAAAACATAGGTGGTGGGAATGGTTTTCTATTTTTAATGTTTTGGGTTACTTTTGGCATAATTTAAGTTTAAAAAGAATTTGACTCATTTAAAGATAGAGCACAGCCTCCTAAGCAATGAGCTATGCAATTTTCTCGGTCCTGTTAAATAACCCTAAGTTATAACATAGGGCTGCTTAAGTGGCCTCGACAATGTGCACCAAAAGCATTAACAGGGACACCATCCATGTGCAACTTGGCACTGTTAATACTTTGATGTTTTGCATCTGTTGATGGAATCAGTCTCTCTGAGAGCTACCACAGAGCTTGGGAAACCTTACTACCAGCTGACTTCAGAACCATTAAACCAAGTTTTAGAGCTGTATCCTCATTAGAAGATAACAGGATGAGTTGCATTTTCTTTATCAAGGAGGCACTAGCAAAAATTTATGAGTAGAGTGAAGAAAATCCAGCATTCTTCATCCTAGGCAGGAAACAATGTAACACAGGTTAACATCTATTCCAGCCTAATAGATGAAAAATATAAATAAGCAAATACTAGAAATTAAGGTAAGCGCAGGTTTAAGTTGGAGTAACTAGTTAGTTAATAAGCTCACACTGCATCAAAACAGATTTAAACATTTAAACAGAACATTTTAACATTTAAACAGAACACAAACATAAGATAACTTACAGGTGAGTAAACACAGTGCCAGAGGTTCAGAAAGAACACAAACATACATATATAAGTAACTTACAGGTGAGTAAACACCGTGCCAGAGGTTCAGACAGAACACAAACATACATATATAAACACAAAGAGACAGAACACAAACATACATAAAGCAACTTACAAGTAAATGAAAACAACAACAGCAAAAAAACACCATGCCAGAGGTTCAAACAGAACACAAACACACATAAAGTAACTTATAGGTGAGTAAACACCATGTCAGAGGTTCAGACAGAACACAAATATACGGATAGCAACTTACAGGTGAGTCAACATTGCACCAGAGGTTTAGATAGAACACAAATATACATATAAAGTAGATTTCAGGTGAGCTTAAACAGTAACTAAGGCACCTCCGACTATTTAAAAGATACATACAAAAAATAAATTTATATATATATATATATATATATATATATATATATATATATATATATATATATATATATATATATATATATATATTCTCTCTCTCTTTCTCTCTCTCTCTCTCTCTCTCTCTCTCTCTCTCTATATATATATATATATATATATATATATATATATATATATATATATATATATATATAATATATATATATTTATATATATATATTACTATAGGCATGACGGATATTAAACAGTACTGATGACAAGAAGCAAATTCCTTTCAGCCTTTGCTCAGAAAGTGAGTTGCACTGGGTTGCATGTAGCAGGGTGATCATGAAGATATATAGATATATATATATATATATATATATATATATATATATATATATATATATATATATATATATATATAGATATATATATATATATATATATATATATATATATATATATAGATATATATATATATATATTTATATTTTATTTATTTTATTATATATATATATATATATATATATATATATATATATATATGTATATATATATATATATATATATATATATATATATTTTTTTTTTTTTTTTAACATCTTCACTTCCAACAAGGCTGCAAGCAACCACTATAAGAGTTGGAAGTTACTGGAAGAAAAAAGACTAAATCTGTAGAGCAAGATAACGATTGACTGATGACTTAAAAGATTGCAAATTATATGAATCAGGAAAGCAAGATGAAGGAAGCGAATTCCAAAGAACTGATGTTCGAGGAAAAAAACTAGAAGAATAAGAGTTTTTGAAGCACTTAGGAACAGTCACAGAAAAAGGATGAGACTTAATTGAATGGCGAGTAACACGAGAATGAATTTTAGTAGATGGCACAAGGGACGCTAGCTCTTTAGAGCAGTGCCCATTATAGTATTTGTAGAAAAGAGAAAGAGAAGCAACATTACAACGATGTGACAAAGGTTGGAGATTGGCTGCCAGAGCAGGTCCAACTATGTTTACAATTCGTTTTTGCACCTTGTCTAAAAGAGAAAGAGCATCATTAGAAGATCCGCCCCAGATGTGGCAACAGTATCCCAGACAGGGACGGATTTGAGATTTATAGAGATTGAGAATAGAATCTGGAGTAAGAAAGTGTCGAGCTCGATAAAGAGATGCAACCTTAGCAGATGCTAATTTTGCAATGGATTTGATATACGGTTTAAAAGAAAGATCAGAAGTAAGAGTTAATCCTAGAAGATGAATGGTAGATGACTCATCTAGTACATTACCATTCATAAATATAGGAAGATCTAAATTATTACGATAACGATTGGTCGAATAAAATTGAGTTTTATCTGAATTAAAGTTCCCCAGCCACTGTGAGCCCCATGCTGTAGCAGAAGTGAGATCCTTTTCAAGCTCAGATACCCCCTCCAAGCAATCAGAGAGTGTAGGCTTCTTATCATGACAAGAGTAAATGGTAGTGTCGTCAGCGAATAATGCCACCTTAGATGTGAGAATATCTGGAAGATCGTTAATGTAAATTAAAAAGAGTATAGGGCCAAGGATTGAACCTTGAGGAACCCCTGAAGTTACAGGATGTGAAGAAGAGTGTTGTCCATCGAGGACAACTTTTATACTACGATTGGAAAGAAAGGACTCAATAATCTTAAAGACGTTACCAGCTACACCATAAGAAGAAAGCTTATGGAGAAGACCAGCATGCCAAACTTTATCAAAAGCTTTAGAAATGTCAAGTGCGATAGCCTTAACCTCTCCACCTCTATCTAATGCACGGTAAAACCTATTGGTTATTACTGTTAGCACATCAGCTGTAGAACGAGAAGACCGAAATCCATATTGATGATCAGAAAGTAAGTTATTTGATTCAAGATGAGAGATCAAGTGTTTGTTGATTAAAGATTCAAAAACCTTGCTTATGACAGGAAGAAGACTAATGGGACGGTAGTTAGATGAATCAGATCATATATTGTATATATATAGTTATATAGGTAGATCATATATTGTATATATATAGTTATATAGGTAGTTAGATGAATCAGATATATATTGTATATATATATTAGAGATGTGCTGGAACCAGTTTATGCCAAGTCCCCAATTCCAAGTACCCAGAAAAAAAAGGTCTGAGTCCGGGTACCCAGCACCAGGTCTAGTTTAAAATGTTGGAATAAAAGCTTTTGAATCCTCTAGCGCATAATTGTTTTCACAAAGTAATGCTGATTAATTTGTTTACCTAAATATATTAAGTTTCTTATTAATATACCTAAATATATTAAGTTTCTTATTAATAAACAAATATATTTAAACTTGAGGTCACAAATTCAAATTATGCAAACTAAAGTGTAAACTCAATGTCTGTAAATATTCTTTCTCCCTCAGGACTGTTAGTATTTGGAAAAACTTGCCACACAATAAAAAGATGCTATTCAAATATCTGTATAAATCAGTTTCCTTTTTGCAATATATTTTGATTATTTTGCAAAAATGTATTTTTTAAAATGTTGTAAGTAAGACACATCTATATTATGTAAATAGGGCTTTGTGGTTATGGACTCCATAACACTCTTAAACCTATATCAAGAAGTGTATTGGTTGAACTAAAAGCAATTCTGTAAATAATGTTTCTACACAGTTTAAAGCACCACTTAAACAAATAGTTACAGCACTTAAGGTTATTGTTTATTAAAAAATTTTTTCAAGGTACCCGGTGCCGGGTACTGCATCAAAATGGCTGATTAAATGGGCACATCACTAATATAGGTACCTGGCACATAACTAATATATATATATATATATATATATATAAAGTATATATATTAAAATTTATATATATTAAAATTTATATATGTTAAAATTTATATATATATATATATATATATATATATATATATATATATATATATATATATATATATATATATATATATATATATATGTATATATACATATAGATTAATTTCAGGTGATTTTGAAACATTGTGTGAGTCGCAGCTATTGTTAGCAAAGTATTTTCAAGAAAAGGATTATAATTCACTTGCCAATTTGTATTATGAAAATTCATACCAATCAAGTTGTAGAATTAAAAGTGATAACAGAAAGAAGGAAGCAGAAACAATTTATTATTTAGGTAAGTTTAAAGAGCTTGAACACGATTATTATATGGCACAAAAGTATTTTGAGCAGCTTAAGTCCATAACTAAAGGGTGTGATTGGTATCAAGAAGGTGTTCTGTTTTTTAAACTTGCTTGTGAATGTCTCCAAAGAATTTATATAAAAAGCGTGCATAAGGTAAACATTTATAATAAATTTTACTTTGTATAAGATTAAAAACATTTAAGTTTGTTACCGTTGTTTAAAGTTACAACAGTAATTTATGTTACTCATACTTGTAAGAATGATAAAATACCATGTTTTTCTGATGATCTTTTAATCATACTTGTATGTATGACAAAATACTTACAAAGTAATAATAATAATAATAATATAATAAATAATATATAAAGAATAATACTTGTAATCATACTTGTAAGACAAAGTACCAAGTTTTTTTAATGGCAGTAATACCACAACTACTTTTTCAATACTGCTAAAATTGGTATTACATATTCGACTTGAAAAGTTCTATATTAATACCAATTAAAATTTTATTTTAACAGATTTTTTGTTTCCATATTTATTGGTAATTTGAATTAGACATTCGAAAAAATTATTATGTTCATTAGAAAGAACAACAAACATCTAAATTAGTCATAGTCTCAAATTTCCTATAGAGAAAAGATATTTTACTACAAGCTTTTGATATTTACATCAGTTATATTTTCAAAAACTGTCAACAAAAAATCAATTATCTAGCCTTATTTGCATTAAATATCTTAGCATTTAATTACAATTTGTGTAAGATTTACTTTTGATATTGTTTAATTGCTAAAAAAAACGTGTGATTTATTTTCACTAGTTGATAAAAAGTGAGAATTTTTTATTAATTTCTTTTTTATTTGTTTTATGTATTTTAAGTGAAGTTACAAAGTAACCAAATACTGTTCATGTTTTAAATAAAGCAACATAGTAACCAAACTACTGTTCACGTTTTAAGCGAAGTTACAAAGTAACTTAATACTGTTCATGTTTTAAGTGAAGTTTTAAAGTAACTAAATATGTTTAATAAGATTTTCAGTTGTTTTAACTTTATCATTAGTTTTTAAAAAATTGATAATTAAGCTGTAACAACTTTAATTGATTAAAATAAATATATTTACTAACAACATATTTTAATGTATATTTATTTATTAAATCTACACTTAAAAATAGAAACAGTTATTTTTACTGATATATATAACTGATTCTGTCAAATATAATATTTGTAGTTATTATATTTAATTTATATTATTTATACATTTAAACATCATATAATAATTCAATTATATATAATTAGCATTATATAACAAAACATTATAAAATATAGAATAATACAATCAGCAAAATTTGTTTGACAAGAATATCAATAATTATTTTATTGTCATATTATATATATTGAATATTCTTTGTAGAATGTTTGCAAAAAAAACGTTTTACAAACTTGTTTTACTGGTTTTATTTAAATAAATTATAATGTTTAAATATACAAATAATATTAATTAACTAGAATAATGCTTATGATAAAAAGTTTTGTAATTAGAATACATATTGCTTATAATAAAAAGTTTTGTAGGCATTAATAAAGTTTAAATGTTTTTAAAGTAATTTATTTGAAAAGAAAAACTACTTGGGCTTTAGGAATACTTAATCTTGGTTTAGGAATACTTAATCTTGGTTTCTTCCCATTTTTAAAAGTTCATACTGACATGTTTTAAAAGTTCATACTGACATGTTTTAAAAGTTCATACTGACATGTTTTAAAAGTTTATACTGACATGTTTTAAAAGTTCATACTGACATCTATTATGTTTTTAAAAGTTTATACTGACATGTTTTAAAAGTTCATACTGACATCTATTATGTTTTTAAAAGTTTATACTGACATGTTTTAAAAGTTCATACTGACATGTTTTAAAAGTTCATACTGACATCTATTATGTTTTTAAAAGTTTATACTGACACATTTTATTTAACATCTATTATGTTTTTAAAAGTTCATACTGACACGTTTTATTTAACATTTTTTATGTTTTTAAAAGTTCATACTGACATGTTTTATTTAACATCTATTATATTTTTAATTTTAATAACTGTATAAAACAATAATAAAACAATATGGCAAGGTTATTTTATAACAAAAACTTTTTATATTAACAAAATGTCTTTATGGTATTGTTGTTGTTTTATTCAGCTTTTTACAATAATAATTAAATATGTTAAAAATAAAAGCAATTTTTATTGTAAGTTTAAATAAATAAAAATAAAAAAATGAAAAAGTCTAAAAATTCATTTTAAAATTTATTACTCTTTTAGCCCTTATTTTTTTTTTAACTACAAATTAAAATTTTTAAAAATGGAAGTTTTTATTGCGTTTTTATTGTTTACTGTGTATTGTTTTGAACCATATAATAAGTATGACATGCAGGACTTTGGAGCCAAGGTCTAAAAATTACTCTGACTCCAGGCTCCGGCTCCATTAAAATTTTTAGCTCCAGCTCCAGAGCAGCTCCACAAAAATAAATCAAAAAAATTTTTTTGTTGTTGTTTTATGACAGTAACTTAAGTACTATTAATATTTTTTATAAATCAAAATCTTGATTCATCCTTAAAAATAAAATATTTAAAATATCAGGTTTGAGTGAAGAAAGCAGATTGCTCGATATAAACTTAAGTACAGAAGTAGCCTCTCTACACTTGCTTGTGAGACAGGCATTTAAATGACTACTCTGCACACTTCTTGTATTCTTTTTGGGTATACTTCTATTTCCTCTGATTTCATTTTTAAATGTCACATTTTTCTATTACCCTGCAGTTGTCTATAAAATTTTGGTCACACTTCTCCTTTTTTATCAAGCTCTTTTTCAAACTCTTCTCCATCGGAATTAGATTCACTTAAAACTGAAAGAAGTGCTGTAGATGGCTCAGTATTTCTTATTTCTCGACTTTCTATTATATTTTTGCATTTTTTTTATAAATTTTTTCTGCTAATGTTTTTAAGTCTTGTTTTGCTCATATAAACTGGTATTCTTCCAACAGTATTCTATATCTAGCATCAACATAAACATGAATTGATTTAGAAATGTTTTCCACAATTAGTCCTTTATTCTTCTCTAGGTCAGATTTCAGTTTCAACTATTCTTTAAACTCTCCTGGAGTGATGTCGGTTTCAACTATTCCTTAAACTCTCCTGGATGTTGGTTTCTTGAAGTTTAACTATAACATCATATGGCTTTTTTAAAAGATTGCAAAGATGACTCAACTCATTCCATATATCAGGGCATATAAAGAATATCTGATCAACTGCAGCAAATTGCTCACTCAGTGGATCTAAAAGTTATAATTGTTCAATCATTCGGAATGTAGAACCCCAGCGTGTCTCATGCAAAGTTGGAATGACCTTGTATTGCTTCCTTGCTAAACATATTGTATGTGAGTTTTTTAGTCCCTTTACAACATAACAGACTTTCACCAGAAATAAGCAATTTTTTTTTTTATAAAGCATCACAATATAGCTACCTGCAAAGTGTGAATAACACAACGCATCAGCCTAATGTTGGTAGACAATTGTTGACAACATTCTGGGAAAACAAAAGCTAAATTTTGTTGCACTTCTTCTTCATTTGTATCCCGTTTTTTTTTTTTTTTTAAACATCTTTGCTTCCAACAATGCTGCAAGCAACCACTATTAGATTTGGAAATTACTGGAAAAGAAAAGATGAAGTTTGTAGAGCAAGATAACGATTGACAGATGATTAAAAGATTACAAATTATATAAATCAGGAAAGCAAGATGAAGGAAGCGAACCTCAAAGAACTAATGTTCGAGGAAAAAAAGTAGATGAATAAGAGTTTTTGGAGCACTCAGGAACAGTCACAGAAAAAGGATGAGACTTGATTGAATGGTGAGTAACACAAGAATGAATTTTAGTAGATGGTACAAGAGACGCTAGCTCTTTAGAGCAGTTCTCCTTTTTGGTATTTGTAGAAAAGAGAAAGAGAAGCAACCTTATGACGATGTGATAATGGTTAATCTTGGTTTCTTCCCATTTTTAAAAGTTCATACTGACATGTTTTAAAAGTTCATACTGACATGTTTTAAAAGTTCATACTGACATGTTTTAAAAGTTCATACTGACATGTTTTAAAAGTTCATACTGACATGTTTTAAAAGTTCATACTGACATGTTTTAAAAGTTCATACTGACATCTATTATGTTTTTAAATTGGCTACAAGAGCAGGTCCAACTATGTTTTTTACACCTTGTCTAAAAGAGAAAGAGCATCATTAGAAGATCCGTCCCAGATATGGCAACAGTATTCCATTCAAGGCTGAATTTGAGATTTATAGAGATAGAGAATAGAATCCGGAGTAAGCAAGTGTTGAGCTCTATAAAGAGATGCAACCTTAGCAGAGGCTAACTTTACAACAGATTTGATATATGGTTTTCATGGTTTCCAAGAAAGATTGAAAGTAGAAGTTAATCCTAGAAGATTAAGGGTAAATGACTCATCGAATACATTACTGTTCATAAATATAGGAAGATCAAAATTATTGCAATAATGATTGGCTGAAAAATATTTTCAATATTTTTCAGCCATTTTGCAATAATTTTGATCTTATATTTATGAGTTTTATCTGAAAAAAAATTGACCAGCCACTGTGAGCCTCTTGCTGTAGCAGAAGTGAGAACCTTTTCAAGCTCAAATGCCTTCTCCAAGCATTCAGAGAGAGTTGGCTTCTTATCATGACCTTAGATGAGACAATATCTGGAAGATCGTTAATGTAAATTAAAAAGAGTATAGGACCAAGGATTGAACCTTGAGGAAACCCTGAAGTTACAGAATATGAAAAAGAGTCCATCGAGGACAACTTTTATACTACAATTGGAAGGAAAGGATTTAATAATCTTAAAGATGTTACCAGATACACCATAAAAAGAAAGCTTATGGAGAAGACCAACATGCCAAACTATCAAAAGCTTTAGAAATGTCAAGAATGATGGTCTTAACCTTTCCACCTTTATCTAATGTACAAAAAAACCTATCAGTTATTACTGTTAGCAAATCAGCTGTAGAACAAGAAGATAGAAATCCATATTGATGATCAGAATGTAAGTTATTAGAATCAATTGAGATTAAGTGTTAGTTAATTAAAGATTCTTTAATTAACTAACACTTAACCTCTCTTTGAAAAACTTTGCTTATAATAGGAAGAAGACTAATGGGACAGTAGTTAGACAAATCAGATCGCTCTTCCGAATTTTTGAAAATAGGGATAACAGATGCTGCTTTCCAGCAGGCTGGAAAACAAGACTCTGATAAGCACTTGTTGAATAGTTTTGAAAGTATAGACGACAGCTCCAGAGAACACTTCTGCAAGACTATAACAGGATCATGAGCTGTAGAAGAGTCAGGAAATCACTACAGAAGCTAGAGTGATAGGAATGCCCAGCAATGAATCATCCAGTTGACGGCTAAATCAGGTAGAATGCAACTAGTGGAATCAAGAGATGATATTGATGAAAAGTTCTTAGCAAACAATTTAGATTTGTCTTTAGGTGAGGTGACAAATTCTGAACCATGTAAGAGAGGTGGAATAACAGATTTGCCCTTTTATTGATACTGTTAAATGTTCTCCAGAAGTCAAGAGAGCCTGATTTTTGTGATGAAGTACAAGATTTCATGACCTGAGAATAGCGGGCTTTGGCGTTAGACAAAACCTTTTTTACAATGGTTGCTAGCAGTAATAAACAGAGGTCTGTTTTCTGGAGAATCGTTTTGCTGATAGATATGGAAGTAACAATTTCGATTGAAAATTGCAGCAGCAGAATGTGAGGAAAACCATGGAGAAGAGTGAGGCTTGACCCAGAATTGTGGAGAGGGAATAAAAGATTCCATACCAGCCTGTATCCACCAAATTATGTAAGAAGCACATTTGTCAGTAGGAAGAAGAAAGATTTCTACCCAATGGTTATCACAAAGAAAATCACGGAAAGAGTCCCAGTCAGCTTTAAGGTAGTTGTAAAAGGTACGATGATAAGGGGGTTCAGATGATGAAGAAGAATGAGATAATAGTTTTAGAGAGATCAAACCATGATCAGAAGCATCTAAAGGTGAATGTGGAGAAACTGAGCACTGATTAGGATGAGAAACAAGATATAAGCTGAGTAGATAAGGTAAATGATTCGGGTTGTCTGGAAAGCAAGTTGGAAAGTTGACTATTTGAGTTAGGGATTGAGAAAAGCAAAAGTTGTGGGCTTTAACACCTACAGAGTCATCGACAATAGAGCCAAACCTTTCAGTGTGATGAGCATTAAAGTCACCAATAACAATGATATTAGCTGATGAATAAAAAGAGAGGGCTTAGTCAATTTGATCAGAAATAACTTCAAAACGAGTGCAGTCTTGAGATGAAGGAGAGTGATATAGAACAAAGAGAAAAATGATAGAATGAAGTGGTGCTAAATGAAAGTACATAAAAGAAAAGTCTGTGAATTCAAACCTAGTTACCCGACAAATGGGTGAATTCTTGCTAATGCAAATGCCCAGGCCAAGCATATGACTATTGGAGTCTTTACGAATTAAAGGAAGATAACCATTAACACTAAGATCACAAGATCAGACAGCTGAACTGTCTCAAGAAGGGCAAGTATCTCTAGTGAAACTTGACTCAAAGCATAGACAGTACTCTGTACACTGATCAATAGCCCAACCAATTGCCTCATCATCATTAATAAACCCTAAGCCGTAACAAAGGGCTCTAAATGTGGCCTTGACGATGCACATCAAAAGTACAAACAGGGACACCATCCATGCGCAACATGGCACTGTTAATACTTCGATATTTTTCAGCTTTTGATGGAATCAACCTCTCTGAAAGCTACCACAGAGTTCGGGAAACCTGACTACCAGCTGGCCTCAGAACATTAAAGCTGAGTTTTAGAGCTGTACCCTCATTAGGAGATAATAGAATGAGTTACCTAGTCATAAAAACAGAGACACAAGCAAAACCCATGCATGGAGTCAAGAAGATTCAGCATTCAACATCCTAGATTGGAAACACAATGTATTAAAAATACATCTGCGTCAACCTAATAGATGAAGAAGGGGTGCGAGGCTGGTCAACAGAATATTCGTTTAAAAGTGTGATTGCTCTAATCATATTGGCTGCATTGTCTACACTTGCACATATGATTTGATCTTTGCTGATACCAAATCTATATAGAGTATCTTCCACCATTTTATAGCAGCAGAGTTGTGCTGTCCTTCTGTATTTATCTGTGTCAAAGTTTTAACTTGACTTTTTCCTGCATAATAATATTGAATATTTATTTTCAAAAAGTTTTTCTTTGTGTCGAGTGGTTGCATCTATTTTCACATAAATAAATTTCTGTAACAATATTTCCTTTATTTCAGCTTTCTTTTTTTCAGCAAATTTGTTAATCAAATTGCATACAGAATTGTGTCCAGTACTGAACCCAACAGTTTTACCTAATTGGTCTGTAATCAAAACCTTTATCCACAAATGTTTTCAATGAAACTTCGTTATTTACTACTACTTTAATAATTCTTTGTTTTCTGTAATCTTACATGTAGCCAGTTTTCTGTAATCTTACATGTAGCCAGTTTTGTATCAATTAAAAAATATCTAGAAACCTCTCATGATTATTTTAGTTTGAAGCCATTTTTATTAAAAACTATGGAAAACAAAATAAATGATAATTAACCATTATATAGCACAATAATTAACTTGCATTAAAAAAAAAAATAACACAAAAACAGCTCAGCTCCATATAAAATCACCCGTTCCGGATAGCTTGAACATGAATGACATGGAAGAGTTAAAGCAATTTTTTACAATAAATGCTTTTTCTGATGTTAACCTGTTTTCAGGCTAGGACTGAGTATTTTTATTGTGAATTAGTGCAATGTGCAGATAATACCAGATAATAGATATATTTATGCACAATCAAAGTTATGCAGATTTATTATCTGGTATTATCACAAAAAACTTTTTCTAAATTGATCACGTTTTTTTGAACAAAAACACAGTTTTTAATATTTCTTGAGCATATTTAAAGTTTTGTTTTTACTTGGTTTTAAATCTAATATCAATGACGTTTCCCAAGAATATTCTTTGCATGTTTTTTGAACAAATTATTTTTTAGATGATTGTCCATCTATTACATCACACTCTTGGAGAGAGGGCGGGGCAGTAATTAGAGATTTTGTGACAACTTGTTACTAAAGAATTACAATGTTTTAAGGAGGGAGGTGGATGGGGTCAGAAACGGTCAAAAATTGTGTGACGTATTCTATGGACACCCCCTTTGGTAACTTTAAAATTGATTGGATATTATTTACTTACACATTGTAAGTAAATATGGTACAAACAAGTTACACTACAAGTACAAACAAGTAACACTACAAATACAAACAAGTAACACTACAAGTACAAACAAGTTATACTAACAGTGCCAACAAGTTATGCTACAAGTATAAACAAGTTGTACAACAAATATATAAACATTTATATGCTATTCTTTATAATACTAAAATATCTGTACATTCACATTAAGTTAATAAATTATTTTTATGTTATCACTATGATCGGTTGAAATTTGGACAATTTTAAATGGAATTTTATCAAAGACAACTTAACCGATTGTAATTTTCTTTTCATAATGGCGCTTACATAATTAATTTTTATTACAATAAAAATAAATATTGCTTAGCTTTACGACATGCAAGTAATTTAATTTTTTGGAAAGTACCCTCCATCATATCCCTATTTTACTTTGCGCCATTTTTTTTGTAGCATTAATCTATAAATCTCTGAAAATTTTAACACTATTTTCACTTTTGTCTCTTTTCCTCAATATTCCCTTCACAATTGCCCTGTAAGTTTCAATAACTCGCTGCTCAGAACAGTTTGGTGGATTAGCATCCTTTGGAACAAAATTGATCTTTTTTTCTTATACCACTGAATTACTTTTTTTGTCAGAAGATTTATAATATTTTGACTGATAATAGTATTGATTACCTGGAAGCATAGAGTGATCTTTTTTACAGTAAGTCTTCAAAATTGCATTTTTTTTTTTTCGGAATTAATTTAAGCAAATTTTTAGCTCATCCAATTGCCTTGATTTCTCCTTCAAGCAACTTTTTTGGCATTTTTTTCTTGTAATGTTTTTTCAGATTTTCTTTTTTGAATACTCTTTGAACGAAAGCTTTATTGTGACTAAACCTTGTTGTGACTGAGTTGGATTTTGATGAGTTGAGTTGACTATTGATTTTGCCAACTTTCCAACTAGAAATAAATCTTGATTTTCCACCACTACCCGATTTTATTTTGCAGTTTTGTTTTCCTTATAACATTTTATATTTTCAACAGTTGGTTTTGGAACTTTACCTGTTTTTGAAATCATGGAATATAAGAATTATGGATTTTCTATGTAAAATTTCAAATTATTTTTTCGATTTGTCAAAAGTAGTCTGACTCTTTACTCAACATTGAAAAAACCAATAAGGAATAAACAAAACTACACTTACACACAAGAAAACTAATTATGTTAGCATCATTATAAAAAAAAATCATAACAATTGATTTAGTTGTTATGTGAGAATGCTCAATTTAAAATCAAATTTTAACCGATCATGGTGATTTTATAAATGAGCAATAAATTTGTCTACAAATATTATTATAAAGACTAAACTACTTTATTAGTTGGATCATGATACAGAGAAAATGAAAATTCTTGATATTTTGAACATGGCTTATTTAACTGCTAAAGAAGGTATGACAGTTGTTTATTTCTAGTTACTTTATTGTTGTTATGGTTATTTGATTACTCTAAAATGTGATGCATCATGATAGTAAAGCTTCATGTTCAGTTTATAATGGCTTTAAATCATGTTTAAAGATAGAAAATCTTTGGTTTATAACAAACAAAATAAATCCCAATTGGTTGGTGATGTAACACTTTCTAAGAGATCTTTATGTAGTGGCTGTCTCTTTTTGAAATTATTACAAGTTGTTAAATTTTCAAGTATTTAGGTGGTAGTTCTGAATCTCTTCGTGAAGTTATTTATGTTACTGGTGAAATTCATTCTAGCTTTGGTGAGTTAAAGGATGCTATTCGATATTACAATGAATACTTTGAAATAAGCAAAATTAATGGAGATAATAAAGGAATTCAAAAAGCTTATCAAGCACTTGCAAGAGCTTATCAGAGGTATTTTTCATATATTATCTTATCAGAGGTATTTTTCATATATTATCTTATCAGAGGTATTTTTCATATACTATCTTATCAGAGATATTTTTCATATATTCAAAAGAGCTTATCAAAGGTATTTTTCATATATTAGAAAACATATAATAGAAGTCATATTTTTTCAAGTAAGAAAAAGAAAGTGTATATTCTCACATTGAATCTTAAGATGAGAGAGATATAAATAATTAGCTAAAATTTAAAAAATTTAATATCAGAAATTCATCCTATGTTAATGATAATGTCTTATAATAATGTTAGAAATTCACCCCAGTTTTCCGATGTTTGTTGCATGTAAATAGATACATTATTATGATCTAATTTTTGTAATGTAAGACTTTTGGTTTTAAGGTTGACAAATATAAAAAACACTATATGGGCATTCACCCTTGTAAATGCCCAAAATAAAAATTAAGCACATCTGCTTTTTCTTACCGGTTTGAATATTATCTTTTAGAGCCATAAACATTAAAATGAAAGGTATATGCAGATAAATTGTTATGGCATACATTACATGCTTAAAATTTTTTACACTCTGCAAAGAAGTGTATGTCTTTGAAATTTAGATTTTTCTAATAATAAATACAATAGCAGCTCATGAAGATAATAAGAAAAATAAGAATGAAAAGAAAATGTCTAAAAGTAACAAAAAAAAAATCTTCTTGTTGGAGACAATTTGGTATCGCATCTATCCTTGGAATCGGCTAGACTGTACGAAACTAATAACTTTCATAACAAAGTAATATTCCTTCAAACTAATGAAGTTCATATCATCCAGCAAGTTAAACCCATCTAACCCAACCACTTGATGCTGGATTTTTCTGACCACTAAAAACAAATATTAGAAAAAATGTGCTGTTCCTTATAAAAAGAAATGTTTTTGCTGGTTTTAAGAAAACCAGAATTCTTCCTTTAACAGAAATAAGGTGTTATCAATGCTCCCAGCTACTAGTATTATAGACAAAAACCAGGAAATTAAAACTCAGCAAGAAACTGATACCATGGACAACATTCAAAGATTTTCTTTAGAGCATGAGATTAAATTGAACCAGTACTCCAAACACAAAGAAAAGAATAAAAATAAATGTGGAAAATTTGTTAGAAGTGACCTTCTGCAAACTTTAACTTTAGCAATGATACGAATTTTAAACCAGTCATGGTCAAAAAAATCTATTAAAATTAAAAAAAAAATTCATCATCAAATAATGGTGACTACCAGTATGTTTTGCAAGATAGCAATGCAGAACTATTTTTTTGTAATTCAGAAGAAGAAATTGACTTTGATTTCGCTTCTGCTAATCCTTCAAATGTATCAAGCCAGGTGGCTATATGGTGGTCAAGGTTTATGGTAAAACAAAAAATACCTTTAAATATAACATTTTTAAAGTAAAAAAACTCAAAAATTATGATTTTGTAGGAACATTTATGAAACGATTTGCAAACAAAGAATTTCACAATGACTGACAAAGAATCTTTGATCTCCAGAAAATGTGATTCAAATATTCAAATATTTAATCTCTAGTAAAGATGTGATTCAAATATTGTCCTATTCTGAAGTCAAAGTCTTGTTTTATAAATATGCTTCATTTTAAAGATATAACAACTGATGTTACAGTTTATTAAAATTTTTCTTAAGTATCTGCTATATTTTATTTTATACAATTTATAGTATATATGAGTTTTTTGTTTATTAATTAAATTTTTATTTATTTAATTAACAGAACATTTTTTCTTATTTCAACTCACCTAAGGTTTAAAAAAAAAACAAATATAAATTTGAAGACCTGTTTCTACTCACCCCATTCTGCAATACGAGTATAAACAAAGGGTTAATTGCATTCTTTTTTTTTTTGAAGAAATGTAACAAAAGTATAATAAAATATACCTGATACCTGATGACCTAAGTTTTGGGTTATGATTTGAATTTTTTACTTATTTTGTATTGGAAAATTTTAAATCTACATTTCAAAAGTTTTCCTACTCACTCCCATTTTATGATATATAAAACGCTAAATATCCAATCAAAATCCAGTTAGGGTATAAATTTGCATAACTTATATGTAAACTTTTATGCAAACTTATATGTAAACTCTTATGTAAACTTCTTCTTTATTGTATTTAACAGTTTTAATAAACAAAGATTTTTAGAAAATTGCTTTTTTATATTGCTAATTAAGAATTTTTTCCTTGCTTTAAGATTAGTTAGAAGGTTACTATTTTATATAAAATAATTTTGCTATGTAATTGATTTTAATTGCTTATAATTTATTTTACTTGTTATTTTTATTTATTCCCTTGTATGTTATTTTTACTTGTATGTTAAAAGCTATGTAAGTTTACTTGCGTGTTATTTGCAAGTTAATCATTTAGGCAATATTAAAGCAAGTAACAATAAAAATAACACATTTAAGTATTAAACAGAACACATTTAAGTTCTCTTTGTTTTAAATCATTTTGGTTAAAACACTTCATGAATTCATATTAAATTTTTTTATTATCCTTAGTATGAGGTTATCATTTTTTTAAGGGAAAAATCATTAAGTCATGCCAAAAAGGAATTTAGAAGTTTTTAATGTATTCCATTCCAATGTAATAGGTTATTATTTTAATGTATTTTATTCCAATGTAACAGGTTTTTTCTAATGTATTAATGCTCTAATGTATTAATGTTCTAATGTTTAAAATAATTTTTTAAGATATATATTAAGACAATTTTTTTGTCTCTATACAAATAAAATATTATCACAGCCATAAAGAAGTTTAAAAAAAAATTTGGAACTCTTAAAAATACTGAAAATTTGTTAAGCAGTGCAAGACTTGAAACTTGTTGTGTATCTTAGATGGAATTAACTGTTATATATGCTCTAAATGCAATTTAACTGGACTGCCGGAGGTTGATCTTGCAATATTACATTACATAAGCACTTTGTAATAAACTTGCTGTTGCCTCAGACACCAAACCCTGTCTTATCCAATTGAAAATATTCCTTTTGGGTTTGGCTGCTGTGTGACCCAATTAAAACTCATAAAACGGGTTTTATAACATAGTCTTTAATCTTGTCCATATTTTGATATACAGAAGCTGCAATACAAAAGTTTTAATTGGTCTAAAAGGTTGTTATATACATACACACGCTTTATATACATTCAAATGCTCATTCAAGTGCTTTTTTTTTTTTTAGCCAAACTAATAACTGTGCAATAGTACACAGAATATTTTTTTGTAATTCAAGTGTTATTTGACTTACACAGCTATATTTTGGTTTAAACAGAAAAAATGTTTGCAATGAATGCAGAGGTGAAAAATGTAAACAAATAAACTTCAAAAATTATAAGAACTATTTTTATATGGTTTACAAATTATTACTAAATATATAAAATACAAAAAATTATTTTTTATATGGTTTACAAAATATCTAAAATACAAAAAATAAACTAAAATAATGACTTTATTTCAAATTAGTATATTATAAATAATTATATTTAAATATTTCTTAAAGTTAATTTTTTGTAATAGGTGTTTTAAATAATTCAAATGTTACATAAAATATTTTTATTTTAGTGCTGCTAATATAGAAAAAGCTTTAGAGTTTTTCGAAAGGTTGCTAGAAGAAGCAGAAAGGTCTCATGACAATTGCTGCGTTTTTAATACTTGCCAAGAAATTGCAGCTCTTTATAATTCAGAGGTATTATTTTAATTTTCACATTAAAACTAAAGCTTATTTGTCATTTATTAGTATAAAGAGGATTCTCACATGTGCACTTTAAATCAAATAATGCCTGGTAGGAAATGAGCTGGTGACTTGCTAGCTTATAGTGATTTTTAAAGGATTTTTTTGCTCACAGTGTTTCGTTTTGTTTTTTACGTCTTAGAAAGTTCGATTTTTAGTAATCTAATATATTTATGATAATAAATGAACTTTTATAAATGAACAGCTATTTTGATATGATATATCTAGATATTGCAGCTTTGTAGCTATTAATATTACTACGATCATTAGCTACTTATAATACTATTGTAACTAGCTAAAGTATAACAAAAAATCTGTAGTCAATGGTTACATACAGCAGCTTTGTAGCTAGTGATAATATTACAATTTATTAATAGCTACAGTTCGTAGGTATATAGCTAACTACAACACATCTACAAATCTAAAGATAGACAATTAAAATTTAAAATAAAAATTAAAGATAGTCATAAGTCAAAATATTTAAAAAGTCATACAACAAAATTGTTGATTGTCATAGAACAAAAAAGTTGAAAGTTGTACAACAAAATAGTTAAAAAGTCATACAACAAAATATTCAAAAGTCATACAACAAAATAGTTAAAAGCCATTCAACAAAATAGTTAAAAGTCGAATATTTTCATTAAGGTTGAGAATATAAAAAAAATGCTTATATGTTAACATGATAAAAACAACTAAGTAGTGCAAAATGGTATTTGCAATGTTTGAAGTGAACAAAGTTATTCTTATCTTAAAGTGTAGAATTCAATTTTTGTCTTAACTGTTGCTTATGATTAAGAAAGTACATTTCAAATCATAAATATCTATATAATTAAAACAATGATTCAACAGTAAGCAGACCAAAATGAAATAATGACAAAAGCAAACTAAAGAAACATAAAGTAAAAAAAAAGGATGATACATTATTGTTTGTATAAAATTTTTGCTGCACTTTGTGATAAATGTTTATCAACATTGGAAAAAAAAAGCTATTAGACAATCTTTTTTGGATGTACAACATTTGGTCATAGAGAAGCTCTTTAAGATAAACACTAACTTTCAACTATAACAAGAGATTATAAAAGTTTATTATTAAAAATCAACATAAACATTCTATCATCTTTTTGTCATTTAGTTCTAGTAATATTTTTTGCTGTTTGTATTTGTCTAAAAAGTTAAGATGGCAAAAAAAAAAAAGAGTTATTAGTTTTATGTTTTGTATTATATGATAATATATGATTAATATATATAATATATTGGTTTTTACTACCTGTAAAGATGATTTTTTTTTTTTTAAATTTACTTTTTTTTAAGTCTACTTTTAAGTGTACTTACTTTTAAGTGTATTTACTTTTTTGTCCTATGACAAAATTATTGAGTTACGACTTATTTAATTAAATTTAATTAAGATTAGTTAAGACTTAGCAGAATTATTTTGGAATGGCTGTTCCACTAAATTTAAAAATTTTTTTGATAATGAGGAACTCAGTGATCGTAATTGCAACAAATTTGCTACTAAAGACTACCTTTATTTATTTTTTACTAGATTTTCAAATAGTTGGTGTAAGGGACTGGTAACTTATCAACTTACCTACAAAAAAACTAGTTGCTGCTACAGAATTTTTTTAAAGATCTACCAAATGCTAATATTCAGAAGTAATGTTTGTCTTAGAATGGAAACGAAACATTCAATCAATTTATTTGGTACCAGTTCATTAAAACTATTTTCACTTTGAAACTTGTTTGACAATGAACTCTATAACTAAATTAGGCCCACTATATAATGAGTATAATTATGAGTATAATACTCATATATATATATATATATATATATATATATATATATATATATATATATATATATATATATATATATATATAAATATATATATATATATATATATATAATATATATATATATATATATATATATATATATAAATATATATATATATATATATATATATATATATATATATATATATATATATATATATATTATATATATATATATATATATATATATCAGGGCAAGATAAAAGTTTTAAAACTCCAAATTGCAGTTGATTTCTTTAATTACTATTTTTTATAAACTGGACACCAATAAATCTAAAGTTCAAAATAGTTTTGTTTTATAACATCTTGATTGCATTTCAATTTTTAAAATCTTTATTACAAGTCTCTTAAGCTTCATTATTTTTGTAAGATATCTGTATGTTAAAGTAAGATATCTTTACATTAATATTTTATGCATACTTTAAGGCATGTTGTACCAGGTAAAACTTAAAAAACATCTGGTACTTTCAAAATAATAATTACAAAACTTTAGAATATCTAATTCAAAACCACTAGAGGTTTAACAAAGTATAACATTAAATCTTTCAATTAGCACTTTAGCCATATAATAAATACAGTCAATCATTCTAAACAAAGAGGTTTAGAGCTAAATGTTCTAAAATAGTGCAGGTTCTAGAACTTCTTTTAAATAGCCAAAGCTATTGCGACAAAATTTTTGAGAACATATTTTGTATGGGGAGGAGAGGGGGGGACCTTTCCAGTAAAAGTGAATATAACTTTTAGCGCAGCTTAATGAAGGTGAGTAATTTTTTTAATGTTCGTAATCTACTTATACTTACCCCTGTTGGACGTCTTGGGCAAGCGAGAAACTAAAGTTTAAGCTTGTTTAAATAATTGGTAATATATTTAATTTTTTAGGGAAATTACGAACTATCTGTAAAGTTTTACGAGAAAGCTCTTGCTATCTCGAATTATCGCAACGATGAATGTTGTCGGAGTGATTATGCTATCGCATTGGGAAATTTTATGTTAACCGAATATGCAACTAGTATAGTAGCTAATAATAAAGAATCACTTTTAAAAATATTAGATTGGAAATGCGAAAGAAGTGGATTTTATCCTTGTTAGACTAAGTTGAAAACTTGTTTGATGCTTGCGCATGCGTCTCCGCATGCGTGTATGGGAAAATATGTTATTTAAATGACTTTTTTGTTAATGGTTTTTTTTTAATTTAAAAAAATCAACAATATATTTATGTTTCTATAATAAAAAAGGTTACGTAAATTTTTTTATGTATTATATACTATATTATAAATAAGACTATTTGTAATTTATAAACTAAATAATAATATTAAAATAACATTGTACTAAAAATTTTTCTATTAAGAAAAATATTTTCAGAGGGTGCTACCAGCCCTTAATTAGTGCTCAGCCCTTCAACCCAACCTAGATCAAAATAAAAGCAAAAATGTGTACAAAATTTTAAAACATTCACATTAAAGCGTCTGTAATAAAAATTTATTTTAAAAAACTTGAGAACTTGAGAAAATAGTTGTTTGTTTTTTTTGTTGATTACTTTAAAACTGGTTAAAAAAGTACATTTCTTACATAAAAATTTTTTTTGTTAATAAATTATTCTTATAAAATTATTATTATTTTTGAAATTTTTTTTAATATATAAAAATTTCATATTATGAAGAGCGGTTTTCCAAAACTGGTTAAGTCACATTTTTATTGTTTTGAGAAAATCACAAAAAACTTATTTTCCGGCAAAGATTTTTCTAATATCTATAATTTTGTAATCGTAAATAAAGATGATGAACAAATTTTTTATTGATACAAGCACTGTTAGATTTGTACGTTTATCAATAAAAAAATTCAAGTGTTTAAAAAACTCAATTTAAAAAAAAATTGAGTTTTTTAAACATATATATATATATATATATATATATATATATATATATATATATATATATATATATACAGGTTTCGCATTACTATGCGAAAGGGGTGCATGTCTTAAACTAGAAGAATAAATTAAAAATAGCAGAATTATTGATTATGACTTATTAAAACTTTTGGTAATAAAAGTGACACCCACACTTATTACCAAAATTTTAAAAACAATTGTGTAAATTAAGAAAAGAGGTTAAGTTAGACTTAACTAGGTATTTTAAAATGTATCCATCAGATTGCGTACCACCTAGAATATATGGAATGATTAAGGCGCACAAACCCGAAAAAGCGTCCTGTTGTATCAACAATCAACACACCACTATATGGAACCTCCAAATACCTCGTTAATATCATTCAACTGACACTAAACAAAAACATAAATAGACTTATTAATTCAAATAATTTTGTTAATGAAGCCAGACATTGGAAAATGGATCCCAATGAAGTTCAAGTTTCTTTTGATATAGTTAATTTATATCCGTCCATACCTATTACCGAAGCTATTCCAGTTATTGTTATATTAAAAAATGACATCGTCGACTTGAAGACTTGAACAAAACTTTCGCTTGAAGACATACCCCAATTAATAGAACTTTCATTGAGTATTTGCTATTTTTTATTTGAGAACAAAATCCAAATAATACCTAATTCAGGTTCTAAAGGTTTATTCTTGATATGGTGGCGGAAGCGTTTCTATAAAATATAGAAAGAAAAAAACACTTACTTTAGCTACTATTCTTACATGTGAACCAAAAACTTTCTTGAGATATGTAGACTATTATCACGCTCTCTTTGACTCAACAAAACAACAACAAATGTTTCTAAGTATCCTAAACGAACAAACAAAATCCTGTCATAAAATACACCGTTGACTCGAAAACCACCAAAAACAACTTAATTTTTTAGATATAATTATTACAAACACAATACATGGAGCTTACTAGTTTTAAATACATCTAAAAGAAGCAATAACTAATATACTACTTAAACCAAACTCAAACATCAATCCTAATCACAATCCTAATATTATCACTGGCATATTCAAATGGTTTTTATGTCGTGCAAAAAAGAATATGTTCACAAAATGGCATATTCAAATGGTTTTTATGTCGTGCAAAAAAGAATATGTTCACAAAATGGCATATTCAAAGGGTTTTTATGTCGTGCAAAAAGAATATGTTCACAAAATGGCATATTCAAAGGGTTTTTATGTCGTGCAAAAAGAATATGTTCACAAAAATACCTCCAACAAGAAATTGATTTTCTAACAAAAATATTTGTTGAAAATGGGCATGACAAGAACAATTTAACTAATATTGCCAGAGACTATATAAAAATAGATGAAAAAAGTACCAATTATCAACCAAATATTTATAAATCTACCATGGATACCAATTGTTGGTCCCAATCTTTAAAAAGAATTTAGAAAACAAAACATAAAAGTTATACTTACATCAACTCCAAATTTAAACAATATATTATGTAACAATAAAACAAAACTTCCTCCAAATACAAACCCAGGTGTCTACCAAATAAAATGTTCATGCATTATATATACATAGGTGAAACTAAAAAGGAAATTATATCAAGATGTATTGAGCATCAAAAAATAGTAAAAAAGGGAAATGGGCCGGTTGCTTCTGAGCATTCCAAATCATGCAAAGGTATGTTTGACTGGTTAAACCCAAAAACCTTATCAGTTGCTCTAGAAAATCATTTTCGGAAAATTCGACAATCCCTAGAAATAAACAAAGCTAAAGTTAGACAAATAGCAAAATGTTCTTAATAGTGATGATGGTGATAACGTCACAACAAAAGCTTGGGGGCCAATTTTTATTAAATTAGCTGACGTCAACATTTAATCCTATTTTGTATTTGCTCATACTCTTTTTAATGTTATCTTTTTAACGGTTTGTATATATAAATTACAAACACAAACGAGGCCTCTAATAGAAGATCACAATGATCTTATCGTCAAAAGCCTTTTACAAAAGAGAGTACGTAAAATATTATTAAAACGCCTTTTCACAATAAGTGTACGTAAAAAATCAAATAAAAACGGGTAGGTCCAATCGGCGGGGCGGGGCGGATCATTTTAACGGTACAAACGGCGGGGCGGATAATTTAAACGTTGCTAACATTTTATAATGCAAGTCATACTTCAATAAATAAAATAAAATAAACTTTTTTTATTTTTTATTTATTTGATAAGTATTTTTTATAGATTCAGATGTAGTTTCATTAAAGAAATAATATTTAAAAGGTATTTGCAAATTATAATTTTAATAAACGACGAAAAATATTGTATAATTTTAAAATCATTTTTACAAAAAACAACGTGATCCGCCAATTTATATCAAGTGATCCACCAAATTTTATATAGTAATCCGCCTAATATTTTGATTGCTTATATCAAACTCTTTAAGTTTTACCAATTGTTCTACCAAGTAACAACGTGATCCGCCAAACTTTATGATGTGGTCAGCTTAATATTTTGATTGCTTATATCAAACTCTTTAAGTTTTAATGATTGTTCTACCAAAAAACAACGTGATCCGCCAGTTTATATCAAGTGATCCGCCAAACTTTACAAAATGATCCGCCTAATATTTTGATCGATTAAATCAAACTCTTTAAGATTTAATGATTTTCCTACCAAAATACAACGTGATCCGCCAATTTATATCAAGTGATCCGCCAACTTTTACATAGTGATACGCCTAATATTTTGACTGCTTATAAATTAAAAACATTCTAACATATTTTCAATAGAAAGAATGAGGTCTTTTAATTTATTTTTAAAAAGATCTTTAATAATTAAAGGAGATAAATCATGCTTTCACAAATAGACAAAAGATAAATTTTGATATACCTTTAGTTTATATCTATCTAGGATTTTCATTTGATGAGGAATGTGCAAACCGATCCGCATAATTAATTAAAGGAATCGCTTGTTTCTGACGGCGATAGAGACATTGTAACTTGCTTTGATCAGTGCTACCCCAGGCAATAACTTCATAACTTATATAACTGTGAATAAAAGAGTAAACAAGTTTAGTTAAATTATTTTTATCTAAATGAGTACGCGTCTTAAAATATAAAATTCCAATACTTTTTAAAACTTTCGAGCAAACATAGTTAGTATGATGTTTCCATGTGATGTTCTCGTCAATGAAAACCCCCAGGTATTTAGTTACAAAATCTCCTTTAATTTCAATATGGTCAATAAGAATTTTTGGTAGATTTGGAGGTAGAAAACGTTTTTTTGAGACCGGGTGAAAAAAAATCCATTTTTTTTTGGTTATATTTAATGTCAATTTGTTACTTTTAAACCATTTAGATATGTTTTGAAGTTCTTTGTTCACCATGGAGAAAAGTAGATAGATGTCACTGTTAGAGAGAAATAAGTTTGTGTCATCAGCAAACATAATACTTAGAAGATTTGATGCTTTATGCAAGTCGTTGATATATATTAGAAACAAAAGAGGGCCTAAGATGGAACCTTGCGGAACATCACAGGAAACATTTAAAAACTGCTTATGATTAAGTTCATTACAAGAAACAAATTATTTTCTGTTCGATAAATAACTTTGAAACCATTTAATTACTCTTTCATTTATTCCGTAATAACTATAATTATTATAAACTTATAAGTTTATAAAACAAAATATCGACAGTATCAAATGCTTTTGAAAGATCGACAGTATCAAATGCTTTTGAAAGATTGACAGTATCAAATGATTTTAAAAGATCGATAAAAATTCCTAATGTAAATTGAGATTTTTCAAAAGAATTAGAGATTTTACGTACCAACTGAATAATTGCATGCTCAGTTGAGTTATTCTTTTTAAAGCCAAACTGATATTTGTATAACAATTTATTTTAACTAAAATAATTAAATACTTTATTGAACATGGTTCTTTCTAGTTTTTTTGAAAATATAGGTAAGATAGAAATAGGCCGGTAATTACTTATATCAGATTTGTCACCACCTTTGAAAAGTGGAATTTGAAAAGTGGAAAGCACATTAATAACAAGTATTTCTATCGAGACATAATATTCTCCTGGTGTTTTGATGTTTTTAGAAATTTTAAAACTCTTTTAAAACTACTCTTACTTTATATGTAAAATTTTTATACATGTTATGTATATAATATCTATGAAACTTCAAAAATTTTTATTAAAAAAAACAGTTTAATAGTCAAAAAACTTTATAAAACAGAAAATAAACGCTATAAATCAATATTAGGATGATGTTGTCGCAATGCAATTTTTTAAGTAAAAATAAAACTATAAAACTTTATATAATTTTTAACATTACATAATTTGAAGTTTACATAAGTTAGAT